AAATTTTTTTCCAATAGAGACCGCAAGGATCAATTTGGCTCAAACCTAAACTGCTCACGTTCGTAAACTGAACAGCATTTGAAGCGAATGTGATAGCATGGAGTTTCACGATACTTAATGAGATTTCAACGCAACCATACCACGACGGCTAAAGGTAGAGTACCTAGACTTCGCAATATAATTAGCCGATGGTAATGATGTTTCTATTCCTGTGTACGGAGGCCATCTTTGCTCTCCTGTACATATTTATCACATGAAACTTTTGATATGCAAGAACAGTAGTGAACTGATGTGTTTTAAATACTGGGCTTGCAGAACCACTTTGTCTTTCCTAAATCCTAAATGCATTTGCTCATCGAAAGTACCAATCCCGTTTTTTTGAAGCATGAATTCTATACTAGACCGTCTGTGTTACAAGCGTCTATGTGAAAAGATAGCTTACACTTTTTTTGCAGAAGAATAGGCCTTTACAATTGCCGAATGTAGAAGTCTTCTCATAACTAGCCCTTTATCAGCTTGTACTATTGCCAAAATCAATAAAATCCGGAACGTTTAGCATGCATGCAGCAGCGTCATTATTTGCCTCCTGCTAAAATTTTTGTAAGGCTGTTTCCAAAAAAGGCTTATAGTGCTTGCACCGCTTTGCTTACACATAGGGGTGAAATCGTCAATAAAATCCGTGGTGCAGCGTCCGGTTGCGTAAACACGGCAGTTCTAGCAACATCTTAGTGTTAACAAGATGAGTGGGTTGTTTTAGCAGTTTTAGTAGACTGTATTGAGCAACAAAAGTATTGTGTCGTTAGGATCTCACAAACTGCTCACAAAAAGCCTTCTTTTAATTACCACCTTAGTAGGCGAAAAAGCAGAAGCAAAACTTTGCGAGTTTTGATGGGAATAAAGAGGAGAGGCAGATGACTGGTTGACATTTTAAGCGCGAAATTGTTGCTTTAGGTGAGACAGCAGCATTTACCCTCATCTACTTGAATGTCTATATTCTTGCAAGTCCTTTTCAGACGATGCTTTGCATAAAATATCATCCTCCAGGTGATGCTTGGTTATCGCCATGCGCAAATCAGAGTCGAAACAATTAACAACAAGCTCCCATTCTTTGTCGCAGGCTGTGGATCCGTGCGATCGTGAGTACAAAAAAGATGTCTTTGTGATTATCGTGTGAGAATGATAGGAGGCAAAATCCCGAATTTGGAGTTACTAAATTTGGTTTTTGGAACTTGATATTGATGGAAAAGGGATAGAGTCACTGGCTACTGAAATGTTCTGCCAACTTCTTTCTTGCTTCGCTCTGTGTCGCAGGTGGCCATAAACAAACTGCAGGTTGCCAACAATCTTCACACTAACCTCGGCCTCATTGACTTGAGTGCAATACTAAGATTCTAAATGGAGAATTGACAACGCGTCTACAGGAGTAGACAAGACAGCCCACTAAAGACACTTTTAAAGAAAGAGACACAAAAGGCATAAAATTCTTATTATTACATAAACAATTGGTTTTTGCAGTTGAATAATTCGAGTGTCAAGTATGTACTAGCCGATGGATGGTTGCAAACTCTAATTTTGTTTTTGCTCCTCTAGCTTGTTACATTTCTCCTTAGTGTCTCTGCCATCACATCGAGTAGTAATACAGATTCTTTCAAATTACTTACAATTCCTCTCCAATCCGACACTCACAATATTACTCTTTGTACATGCATTTCCTGAGCATAGAAAAATGTGATCTTGTGTTGCCCTTTTCGCTGCTCGAGTATGTTGTGAACTTTTGTATTTGCAGGCGGTTTATTGTGAGTTCACATGTTTCACGTAGCCGTTTCTTAACGAAGAAGCTTGGCTTAAGGTAACGAAGCTGAAGCGCTAGACAAAAGATAGCCTGCTGCATACAATTTTTTGTTTTACAGACAAGACTTACTCCTAAATTGAGCAAAGCTTCCTACTTAGTCTTCGGTCAAATTCACTCAACACGTCCAGTTAATCTACACCGTAGCTGCTGTTATGTTGTCAACACGATTGCTGGAATTTGATCTTGCAAGCCATTCCGTAATGTAACGGGAAAGGAGAGTGCATTCCTTTGATGAGCTGAAGCAACATTGAGCTCTTTAAGGGGATCTACGCGGATAGGTTAGGTCCAAAAACGAAGAGGGTTTTGCATTTTAGAGTATAGTACTATAGTAGTATTGGCGAGTACTTTTACCAAAGGTAATCGTCTTATTAAGTAAACATTCTAATGTCTGTCCAATAAGACGAGCACCAGTTAATCTACACCGTAGCTGCTGTTATGTTCCTGTAATAAGATGAGACGTGAGAGGATAGCTTGCAAGTACTATTGCTTTTCTTTGAAAAAGGCAAAAAAATTAAAACGTCAGCTGAATAAAAGTTACGGGAATTTGGGTCTACGGCTCAACTATTTGAGCGGAAAGCGTCCAACACAAGTTGACTGAGTTGTGCGTTCAATAATTTCAAAAAAATTGCAAAGTTATTCCAGGTAAAACCTGTTTACCCCAGCGTTAGATGCTACCTTAAGGCCTTGAAAATTCAGTGGATGCGCAGAGAAACTACTGGTTGAATGAAGTACGACTTATGGAAATTGAAAGAGATTCAGCCAAGGAAGCAAATGGGGTAAGTACCCTGCCGGACTTAGGTGGAAGCCGAGCAGCGGTTAACTTAAGCGTGATCTACGCCAAATAGCGAGGAATTCAAAAGGTTCTACGCAAAAATAAAAAATCGATAAAGCAACGTAATGGTACGGTGAAGTTTGATCGGTAAAAAAATAAAAGAGGCATACAAGCAATGACAGAAGTCTATGTGGGATAGTGATCTGCATTGCAGCAAAACACTTTGCAAAGGAATAAGTCAGGAGAACAAGACATGCATGCCTGAAGTTCTAGAAGAAGGCGGAGACTTGCGAAAGAGCACGAGAGAGTTGCAATCATAGGAAGGAGAGTAGAATACAAAAAATAAGCATTTCTGCTATACAAAGACAAGCTTGGGAAGATGTTAAGAAGAAACCGGAAGATAACTGAGAGACAGTGAAATGCGTTTGGAGGAGAACTGTTTACTATTGGCATTAAAGCAGCCATCCCAACAGCTGACCTTTGAAGGACCAAAAGTGGACGGCGCGCTGTCTGTTAGCTTCCACGCCTCTTCAATTAGATCCAAAGCTAAGACTGCCTCATGAACTTTAATATGGAGTGATATAGGCAATATCGCAAACTGTGCTACAAAATGCGTGTTCTGGCTGACAAACCGCAATGAGAAAGTCAAAGAGTACATGAGATTTGGGAATAGAGTTGCAGAAAGGGCGATTTTTTTATAGGCCCGAATTAAGGACGCCATCCATACTGTACGCATAATGGAGAGATACAATGAGAAACGATAAGAGCTGCATGCAGTTTTCTGGACACGGAGCGAAACGGGTCTTTCGACAATCTATTTCATGATTTCTTATAACGGACCTGCTAAGACATGATCAAAAGGTTACCTCTAATATATAAGGTCTACCATGGCAAAAGCCAAATGCACTTGCAGCATGGCGGCCAAAGCCATTCCGCATAAGAACTGTACATTAGGGATTGTGTTCTCGCTTCTAGCCCTCACTATAGTCGTAGCCGTAGAAGAACGATTTGAAGTGACAGCCGCAACGGGATCTTCTGAAGCAGATGATGTGCTGTTGATAGCAGAAAGCAGAAATAGAACCAGTAAGAGTCGTACGAGCTGAAGATCTTCAACAAAAAAAAA